TGTTACAAACAACCGTTATGTGAACAAAGTTATAATACCCTTGTGCACAAGTGCGCTCGGGTATAAAAATGAAAGTAAAATATGATTGCAAGCTAACTTTAGGTCGGAAATAAATGCCTGGAATGCCATTGAAAACTAATTTTGGTACAAATTTCAACAGCGGGTATTAAATATAAGAAAAACAATTCAGTGTTTAACTTTATATCAGTAAACAAGTCGTATTAAGGGTCTTCACACCGTGCTTGGTACTCGGTAAATATGGGAGGGAAAATTACCGAACACCGAGTTACCGAGTACCAAGTTGTTTTTGTTGCCATTTCTATAAAATATAATGGATTTACAATCCATTAAAAAATGTTGATACACAAGGTTTTTTCTATATTAAAAAAAAAAAAACGATCGCCTAAAAATACGGAAAAATACACTACGGAAAAATATGAGTGTTTGTATGTGTTAGCAAATAATAAACTTACTGTCGAGTTTTTGTCTTCCATTGCTTTCACCCAAGCCGCTGATTCTATAGTACATGGCCTTACGGTTTCTGTTCGACCTTCGCGGAATAGGCGTGTCATCGACGCTTCATATGTTAATGAGAATCGGCCCGCGTCACGGTAGTATGCCAATTGGAGAGCCATTTGGATGTAGGCGTCGGGTGACAATCGACACTTCTTCATGAAACCCTTTCCATACTCGTTATGCACCAGAATACGTAGGTCCACATCCTGCACATTTTTGTTTTATTTTATTATTATGTGAATGTTATTATTGTGATGCGTATTTTTTAGAGTGACTCACATTTATTAACTTGGTAGCGTCCAATGTCGCCTCTTCAATTTGTGGTTGCAACGGAGCAAGATCCCAGCTCAGTCGGGTAGGAGATGGTGGCTGAAATTCCGGGATTCCTTTTGTATTTCCAGCCTCATCATATCTAGATTTATGTACATATGGTTATGTGGTCAAGTTTTGGCAAATACTTTTAAATACATATGTATGTGTGTATGTAGGCATGCGTATTTGTGATTGTGTGCATGTATGGATGTATTATCTGATTATAGATATGTATGCATATATGAATGTATGTACTAGACTTGGGGAGCTTTCAAGCTAAAGAGCGAATGAGCCAGCTCTTTTGATTGAACTAGTTCATTAGTTCGTTCATTAATTATAATCCTTAAATTATATACGATTACGATTACTTTAATTGTAGTCATATATGGATGTTACCATTATGATTATAATAATTGTAATCTTAAAAATTTAAGGACTAAGATTACTGTAATCGTAATACTGAAGTTGAAGTAATACAGTTACACAGCGGCCGCTGTGGTGGGCCTGTATTCCAGCCCGAACGGTGTGCCACGGTTATGTTTAACCGTAAGGTTGTTTCTTCGGGGATGTGTTTCTGGTAAGCTTCGGAAACAGTTTCCGATTTATTTTAAAATCGCCTACTGGACCTTTTTACAAAAAAGTGGATTTAAAATTGTGTTCGTGTTTCCATTTTTTTTTACATATTTAATTTCATTTTATTTAACAAAAAATTTAGGGTAGCTGACATCTATTCCTACAAATTATCTTAATGATTAATGCCCATTACTGCATGTAGGTATATACAGTCAGCGTCAAAAATATGAATACGCAGACGTTTCGTTACTTACATTTTTCGTACCAAATTTTTCTTATTTTTTTATAAAAATATAGTTAGTTCAACAGCAAAAACCAGCAGAATCGATTTTTTCAATTTCATATTTAAATCGGGAAAATTCAAGAACTACCAAAAAATTGTCATCAAAATCTTCAACTTTTCAATTCCATTTCTTAGAAAAATTCTGAGTATGCAGTTTTGTGGCCCATTAAATTTTAGTATAATAAGGTGTAAGTTTCAAGTCTATAAAAATTACTGAAGAGAATTACTTAGACTCCAGTTTGTATTCCAGTTTGGCTTACAGTGCTTGCAGTTTTTTTCCATGTAGAACTCACTTTACTTTAACATGGCGATGTCCTAGGAAGCAGTCAATTGCATTTTCCTGCATGTATTTTTAACCACTTTAAAATGAATTTGACTTAAACAACTCCAAAGTCAGTATGTTTCGTTTGAATACGCTTGCGTTCTGGACTTCACGGACGATTTTTCATACTTCCAAGACACAAATTGTTTATTTGAGCAAAAAGAGTATACAAATTCGAAACATTTACTCATTGCATTTGCTTTAAAGTAGTCTTTCAATTAGTTCATTTAAAAAAATCACTTGTTTCCGTCAGGATATGTATGCAAATATACACATACATAGAAGAACAAGTTACTAGTTACCTAACTCAAATTTCTCACTATTTATAATAAGGAAGGGGAAAAAAAAACACTGACTAAATTGTAAATTCACTTTTTTTTTTTTTAAAGGGCCCAGTAGGCGAGTGTAAATTCAAATAGAATCTGTTTCCGAAGCTTACCAGAAGAACAT